CTGGGGAGGCGCACTCAGCCGCCCCATTCCAGACGTGTGGCCAAGGAGCTGTGTGAGGACGTGCCTCTGACCTGGGGGGGACATGGAGACGCGGGCAAGAGCGCGGACACCCGGCGGGAGCGGCTATCACAGTGTTCAGACAGAGCAGAGGGGCCTGAGGCCCTGGGAGGCACGAGCCCTACGCAGCCCGGCTCCAGAACGGCGCTTACTACATGCAACGGGCACTGTGCGGACAGCCGCGCGGGCCCCGCACACGCCTGCATGCTCACGGGTCTGGACAGCTGCGTGTGCACCCGCTCGAGGCCACATCCCCGTGGGCAGGGCCGCAGGGGGCAGGAGCGACAGGGCAGGCTCTTGGCACGTCGTTTCTTAATCTGTCACCAGGACAGCACTGAGGTCTCGGCTTTGAGTGGCCTGGAGTCCAGGCTTCACTCACACGCGCCGTCTGCTGGGAAGAGGCAGGCGGAGCCGAGCGTCCCAATCCACGCCCAGGGGAGGGCCTGTGGCGGGCAGGCCCTGGCACGCACGGACTGGCTCTAACACTGCCGCCCACGGGGACTGAGGGAGGGCCTGGACAGGCCACATTCTAGCGCAGAGAACAGCACGGAGGACAAGACAGCCCTGCCCTCGCAGACCCACGTTCCACGCCAGTCAGAGCGACGGGGAGACCGCCCCGGGCCGGTGAAAGGGCACTGAGCGAGCCAGCAGCCCGGCCATGGTGACGCCCCTACGTCAGACGTGGAGACATCCGTCTGAAAACTCAGCAAAGTGACAAGTGTCTGCAGGGCGGGGAGGCCGCTTCGGAGGGCAGGGACGTGTCACCGACGTGACCTGCCGGGGAAACCCCAGCCCCGCGTGTCTGCAGACCCGGCTCCAAGAGGTGCAGAGGGCGGCCTCTGAGGGCTGCGGCCGGCATGTCCACGGGCCCAGAAGGCCAGCGTGGCTGAGTGACGAGGACAAGGGGACCAGATGGCGCGGCCCGGGTGCAGCACTACAGAACCGGGGGGCCACCTCTCACCTGGGCCAGGGCAAGGGCAAGCCTCTGCGGGGCCCCTTCACGGGTGAGCCGGTGCCGACGGCCAGTCCCCGTGGCTCAGATGGCAGTGCCCAGACCACGCTGCTCGGCGAGTGGGGGTTAAGGAAAACATTGGCAGGATTCTTGTTTGCGGGGAGAGAGCTGTAATATTTTTTAATGTTGCTACAAAATACGGTAAGTAACATTTTTAATCAACAAACACACACACACACACACAGCAGTCGCGCGAGAGTAAACACCATCTGGGTAGGGCTCCCCGCACCGACAGAGCCACAGCAGAGGCCCCAGAGCCACGCGGGGCTGGGTGCTCGGAGCCAGAGGCCCTGGTCACCGTGCGACCGGAGCTGGCAGGGAGGCCCCGCGGTCAGCGCAGGGAGGCTGCCCCCAGGCTGTGCACCCCGACCTGACTGCATCCTGTCCCCAGCCTCCCGTGCCCGCGACCATCTGAGCCACTCCACCCGCCCTCCAAGGTGACACCGCCCCAGGCTGCAGAGCCCAGCACAGGCGTGCCGCAGCCAGGCTGGCTCAGCCCCGGTCCCCACTAAGCCGCCTGCGAGCCTTCGGGGACCTTGGGCAGGGCCCGTCGCAGCGCCGAGTCCGGGTCCTCACCTGTGAGATGGGAATAACTCGGCAGGAACAGCAGGGCCAGAGCGGCGGGTCCCAGGGCAGCCAGCGGTGCCTGCCGCTGGGGGTGGCGGTGCTGACAGGACCCACGTGATGCCGGCACGAGAGCCGGCCGGTGGGTGATGAGGGAGCACCAGGCGCTGTCCCTATGTTCACGCGCAATTCAGCGGCTTGAGCACATCTCCTCACATGAAACGGAACTGGGAGACCTTGCCATGCCCTCCAGCTGTCCAGGCCCAGACCTGCCCTGCCCTCGTCCTGGAGCAGCAGGGATGCCAAGCAAGGGGGGCCGAAGTGTCGAACGCCGCAGGTGCTGGGATGCCTGGGAAGCCGGGTGTGTGCCGCGGTGCCAGTGCCAGTACCACGAAGAACGCCAAGGTGCAACAGCCCGGCCTCATACTCGGAGAGTGACAGCCAAGCGGAGGGGCCGAGCCCGACAGCGCAGGGAGGAGCAGCGCTGGCTCCCAGCTGTGGAGACGGCAGGCCCGCAGGCTGCAGAGGGGGGTGGCGTGAGCAGTGACCCGGCGTGGAGCGCGAGTGAGCGCTCAGAGCCCGGCCGAGTGTCGGCACTGAGCTAGGAAAGGCTAGGAAAGGCTGCTGGGCTCCACGTGGGACAGGCCCTAAGGAGGCCGTGGGGCACCACGACGGTTCCTGCCCAGGTCAGTCTGGCGAGGTCAGGGAGGACGGAGCGCGAGGGGCTGCAGGCAGGGTCAACGCAGCACAAGTGGCAGGCCGGCAGGTCGGGGCAGCACAGCAGCTGCGGGGTGAGTGGGAGGGCAGGGTACGAGACCGCGCGCCGTCACACAGGGTCCTGTTCTACGGTGGAAAGAAATAAGCAAGCTTGCATGTACTAGGCTTGCGAAGTCTGAGGGCTCATGCGAAACTGAACAGCTGGCATTTAAAATAAGATGCGCTCTGCACAGAGGAGGCTCACAGCTCCAGGAAGGGATGGGGCCTGCCAAGAAAGAGGGGCAGTCCTCACGGGGCCCAGGGCACAGTGTGCGTGCCCCGCCCTCCACGCAGCTCCGTCCAGGGAGATCCCCACGCAGCTC